CAAGGCTAATATATTGTAATTCCTGTTTTAAATTTTTAAACTTAGATTTCATCATCTGTGAGAACAGTTTGTGCTCAATTTATGAGAAGGCGTTTGGATACTGTACAAGGATGATAAAAGCAGACATAGCGGTATATTTAATATCACAAAATAAATGATGGTGTTTAGTATCATCACCGATGGCTGATTCACTTACCTCAAACCCATCCATGGCCATTGTCGCTAGGTAGTTAGGGTCTTGTTTATTCCATGCAAGTCTTAGCAGTGGATGATGTTGTGGATCTTCATAAATAATAGTGGAATGTTCTAAATGGCGTAAATCAAACATTCGAACAGAGCCATCTGCTCCGACCGATGCAAACATGTCACGCCCACCTCCTGCCCTACTAAACGCTATATCATAAACCTGTAGACAAAGACAGACATGTCAAAGGTCATACTAATATCTATTTTTATATAAACAAGTTAGGGACAGAACAGCAGATCTATATACATAGCTCTATCCATATAAGAAACTGAAGTGAGTGAAAATTAAGATGAATACAGTTGATCGCATGACACAAAATGTACTTTAGACACTGATTCCCTCACACACCCTGTGGCGAGTCATGTTTTGTATACACTGGTGTTATGTAATGGGCATACCAGTGCTGATAACCCCACATCCAAGGGTGCTCAACGCCACTATTTTTGAGTTCCCTATTTATGCAAACTAAGTGATATGCATCATATAATCTTAAATGCATATACCAAGTTTGAGCAAAATCTGTCCAGAACTCCAGACCGGCTCCAGAATGGCATAAGGGTTAAATGACCAAGATTTGGAAATGCACAAAAATTTCCAAATCTTAAATCAGATAGTGGACGCGAGTATGTATGCCAAGATGCATGATGTGTGTACGAGATCTGACTTGTCCAGGCACATCCGGGTACGTCCAGATACTAATGGCACTCAATGAAGGTCAATTCACAAGATTGTTTATGTTTTAATTGAAGCGCAAGATCATTATGAATATTCCTATTCAGGGCCGAAATTAGAATGACCAAATCATGAAGAATCACAACAAAATATTCCCTGGTCAGTTAAAAATCATATATCAAATATGAAGACCATATATTACCATATAGATCACATTGCACTATTCTCTCTACTAACCTCCTTATCATGTGCAATGAGTTGTGTTTTGACATGTCCCGATACAAGATTCACTCTTCCTAATACTTGTCCCGTTTCTAGACCCCATATTGTACATGTTGTGTCAATGCTTGAGGTTCCTAGTAAATTGGGATCCACCTCATTCCAGTCAAACGATGTCAGCGGCGCACAGAAATCTGAATTTTTGTTCTGCAGAAAAAAAAAAAAAGAAGAAGAAATTGAAAGTCAATAAACCTAACAATGGGTCACTATGTGACTATAAAAAGAACTGCTGCTGAATAAACCATCAATTTAACAATCAGTACATGGAACAGTGTGCACTGGGCTGGGATGCTGTGATACAGTGCCCTCATACGGTCATAGTTAATTTTCTTTCCTTTTTATCAATATAACCTCAATATATAGTCAGACAAATGGTAAACGTATCCTCTACAATGATGTATGTGTGAAGTTTAAACTTGATTGGTCCTTGCATGTCAGATATACAGATCCAAAACTGTACTCTTTAAAACAGCCTACCATTTTGAACTTGATCTGAATAAATAAAATAGTGTGCATCAAGGTTTTGTATTCAAAGAATGTACCAAGTTTAAACCAAATCTGTCAACATACGACTGATATTAATTCTGAATGGTGATTGGTGGCATTAAAATGGCTGCCATTCAGCCATCATGAATTGGAATATGAAACAAATGCATGTGCGCATATAATGTCTCGTGCATATGCAAAGTTTGAACTTGATTGGCACAAATACTTAGAAAGAATGGAATTTCTGTGAAGACAGCAACAGTGTTTACATCGCCATCTTAAAAAGTGACCTGACTCGTAAAAATTGTGCAATATCAAGAGACCATGTACATTGCACCTTCCTTCAAGAAAGAAAAATATTCACTAAGCGTTTAATTTATTGGTTTGTGAAAAAAATGGATAGGTCCTATAATTAAATTGAATTATTATGACCCAGACATTAGACTGTATGCATTATAGTTGGCTGGCGAAACACTGGGAATGTGCTTTTTTTAATCTTTATGTGTTATTTTAGTTAGAATCAGGCATCCATGTGGAATTGTACATTTTGTATCATAGTAATGATAGATGCATTCTTTGATTATAGCATTTTAATCTCACAATTGGTGTTTAAAAATAGCAAAAATAATTTGTAACTTTATGCATAATTTCTACAGAAATATATCTTGTTGGATTCCAAATTTGTATTTTAGAGAAAATGATGAAATAAAATTTTTGTCAAATGTGTCTGGACATTGTTTGTCAAAATTTACAAAAAAAAATACATTTGCATTTATATTTAGATAGCATTTGTTGTTAGGTACATGTACAGGCATCCATACAAAATTATATAAAGGTATTTTCGAGGGTAAGAGTGGATGCCATCTGTGGTTTTGCATTTTGATATAAAAATGATGAAATTGATCAAAATCCACAATATTTAAAAATATTTATTTATCAAGTTTGAGTTTCGAGATTTTACTTGCCAAAATATGTGATGTACCTATTCAGGATGATTTTTGACAAAACAATGTAACCAATCCAGTCATGAATACAGTAAGCATTCAATTAAGTATTTAACTTTTGAAAAACCTCTACTACATCCATATATATATATATATATATTCCAGTAACCGCACTATTGTGTTGACCTGAGCACTGCAACCGACTGTTAGTTGGACATCATACAAAACACAAATTCTAATTATGGTTTGCACAATATGTAACAAAAACTTGCAATTATTGATACATTTGCTTAGACAAAATATAAACCTGATATAAACTTATTGTCTATCCAATTATAATTGGGATTATTGTGGTTTAGGAGTGGTTACTCTGGCGCTAATACAGTGAATTTCATCGCATCAGCAATCACGGCAGAGACGTATTTTATAGAGGGATTATTCATACACTGCATACCTTAATGTGTGCATAATTGGCAAAGGAATACCAGCTCACAATTTAGATGCAAGAATGAATGAAAAATAGTTAGATAAAGTGCAATCAATAAATGCAATGTACAAAAATGAAATCTACATTTAATTAAATTAGAGGCCGATACGAAACAATTAAATAATTTGCAATCCATGTTTGCTCTAAACAAGTAATCTTCCACCATGCTGAATAACTGGTCTGTCAATTTTCAATTGTCAAAAAAATAGATAATAGATAATATAGATAACGGGATCAGTACAAGTGCATGATTAATTGAACCACTGGTGGGAAGTTACAAACATTCCCAATATGATAGGATAGTTGGCATTGTTTAGTGAAGGAGATCTTCCAATTCAGTCTGTTTGAAAAAAAAATGTTTTTATTCAGCATAATATTATGAATGTCAACAGTTTACATACCATTTTGTTGGTTGAGGTGCAAGGCTTTATAGAAGTTGACAAAAACTATAAACTGACCTTGGCTGGGGTCAACAATTTAATACAATTTCCCATGATTGTATCTCAATACCGTACATGTATAATAATATGAAATAATCAAAGCCAATAATGTATGACGTACAATGTATATCCATTTCACTTATGTTGTAAACTACGTGTATATTCAGTCTAGTCATGTAACAACACAAATTGCTTACAGGCATATTAGACGAAGCAATTACGCTACATCTCACATTTGAGGAAGCAAGACCGTTACTGCGTCATACTGTGCACCACCGCGAAGCAAAACAAAGTTTTTAATCAAATCAGCGTACAATCTTCCATAACTGCAATAATAATGTCAACCAATTTGGACAAACTGGCATTTTTTTCAATAAATGGCACGGTTCAGTTTTTTTGTGCAAGTACCAAATCATATAAAGTGTGTCTAGACATTATCAAATTGCAATCAGTCAATTGCGAAAATGTCTACTATAACTGATGTACCGGTAAATCTGTAGTAATACAGTGTGTGTAAACTGACATCAAGATTGAATTTGTTTTTTTAGACTATAATACCGATAGCATGAAACAAGACGAGTAAACAAAACAGTCAACTATAGCAGACATTTTTAAAGATATTATAACTAAATGTAAAAACCATTTCTCGCTTTTTTTTTTATCTTGTCCGTTTCAATTGATTACCGATAACATAACGAAAGGTGTTTACAACTTTGGAAGGACAATTGGAATCTACCAGGTGTGCTGTTATTTGAATAACTGAACTGAATTGCCTACATAACACACGTGCTAGCAAGATTACATTCTGATTGGCTCATGTGGAAACCCAGGTGGTGTCCCTGAATCTGGGCCATTTATGCCTATATTGGACTGACTAAGGACAGTTGGGGTCCATCATTTCTACTGTGTACTGTGTGTAGCTACTGTGATATTGTGAGACAAGTGATACAGGCTTCAATCATCATTCTGTCGTCCATTTCTACATCCTGGAACTGTGAGTTATCACCAATGCACACTTCCCCAAGCAATCCCCCATTTTAGTGAATTTATCCATTGTATTTTTCTGAGCTTTGTTTCTTGTAATTATTCGAGAGGTATTAAAGCCAGGAGCTCAATATTTTGCTGTATGTGTATTTCATTTCCAGTACTATTGTCTTGTCTACCCCCATTCTAGCAGTGAAAGAACGCCCTGTCCAGTGCGAGTTCTCTGGATGGCTCTCTCAATTGCAATAAGCAGGCATTACACTGTGACATAGATAAATGATAAAAAATGCCTTTTATCAAAGACCACAGGTGTCTCAAACGCCCTTGCGTTTGTACATGTTTGCATTGACGTCAGACGTCTGTTTCACCAAACATGGTGACCTTTAATTTTGTCAAAAGCAAATGTCAGTAAAATTACTAAACATAAAAGTTAATAATAATCAAGTTACGCCCCTATAGATATTGTGAACCTCAAACATTCTAAATTTCACAATCTAGTAGATAATTTATTCAAAACTGAACAGAGGTCATGCGCTATATTTGGTCCTACATTCGTTTTTGGGGAACATGAATATGTATAGAGGGGTGGGAATAACCATGGCAACATCCTGTTTGAATCTTGAATTTTGCATATTCATAAACTTTTGATCTGCACTGGTCGATTGGAGCCTGAAATCAAATCATTTTCTTGCCTTAAAACACTCCTGAATGTTCAAATTGTTGCGTTTCAATGACACAATTCTTGTATTGACAATCAGGGCATCTAATAATTGTTTTTGAGTGAATTCTATGTGAAATGTGCAATGATTTTGACACATTGGATGTATACATGTGTCGTACTGAGCTGAACAAACGTAAGCTTGTCTCTAAATTCATACTGATGAAAAAAAATGTATACAAGTTAAAGAAGCTTCAAGCATATATGTTATTGCTAGTATAATTTATTATAAATTAATTATTATTGAATGTTATGCTAGGACTTAGTATTTAAACAGCATTAATAAATGCACTTTTGTTTGTTTACTTATGGAAATTTCTATTTAAAGTTTCCTATTATTTTCTCACTCAAAAAAAAATGAAAATATACAGCAATTTTGGTTAATAGTAAATTTAGTACAAAAAATTAATAGTAAACTTATCCCACTAAACATTGTAAATAAAACAATACATTTTTGAAATGTTGTTACTAGCTGCAGTTTTGGGTCGAATGGATGGTACATAGTGGGCGGCAATGTTCAGCCGCATTGGGCTCTTGCAGAGTGTAGACCCAGTCATTTTTTGTTGCATTGTAGACACATGGCCATTTATGACCCCATTTGGTGGCAAAGGGTTAAATATACATGTACATTGCTCGTATTTATCGCCTTTTTCGATCACTGAATACTGTACAAACCGAATATTCCATTTCTACATACATTTTGAAAATGTTCAAGTTGCTTTAAATTGAGTGATGCAGTGTTATAGTGTTTCACAATATTTAGCTTGTTTTAACGCATTGAATTCACGCACGTCATTATAGCTATACACTCATAGTGGTCCTGTTCTAAAACAGTTTTACAGTTAGTCCTCATCAAAATTTCCTGGTTATATTTCTAAATCACAGAAAGGATCCATGAGCTAATGTTAAGAAACCATAACAAAATGTATCTGCACATGCTACACGTATGCAACTCAGATACTTCTGGAATGTGGTAAGTTCAGCTTAAAAAGATAAACAATGAGACGTGCATCTGGACAATAGAAATCCATCATTTCGTAACCATGTATTGAGGGATTGTGATGTAGAATAAGAAAGTTTACCTACATTATTTAGAAGACATTCCAATCTGGTTTCAGTGTCTCCGACTCTCCACACTCTCAAGTAATCTCCACTGGTTGACACAAGATCTGGAAACACCCCTTTCTATGGAACACAAAGAAAACAAAGTATATAGTCAAAGGACGGTGGTTGTCGTGCCAAACATACGTGAAATATGGGTCTTGTATAAGAGCAAGGATGGTGACTTTGACTGTTGCCCAGACCAACGAGTATAAACTGATATGTTACCAAGCTTTAACTACGTAATTTATTCGGTGATTGGAAGGCATCGAAGGGTCATTGATGGTAATTAGTTTACGTAGCACCCAGGCGCTATTATTTACAGCAAAAATGGTAAAAAGAAATTTGTCAAATAGAGAGGTTAGATTACAAATTATTGTCAACACATACAGCAAGGCTAGAAACATAGCATTTACCAGGATTCCAAGATCTTATGAAAACATTATGCCATCAGCAATCAGCATGAACTGAATTTTCAAATGATACGCTACTGAGAGTTTACACTTCTATATAGAAGGTTTAATGTGAAAATGGCTATGAAGGCTCACTAAAACTCAGATACATAAACTGTGGTTACACAAATGACATACCTGTAACTAAGATTTGGCTAAAACCAAAATAAATAAACAAAGAGTGTACAATATTTTTTTTACAAACATTTCTCTTGTCAAAATATGTTTGTGAAATTAACTAGATCTTTAAATTTCTTTTTTTTTTTAAATAAAGCAGAATTCACAATGAAAAATAAAAAACAAATGACATATAGAAGATTAGACCAACAAATTTCTAATAATTTTGTCGTGGTTGATTTCATATTGGAAATTAATATAGCTTGTGGGGATGAGAGCGGCATGCTTTGTACTTTGCAACATCCTGCTCAACAATATATAAGACATACATGTACAATGTTTGAAAATAAATTAATATATAGGCTTATTTAAGTAGAACAGAAGTCACTGTAAATGACCCTGGCATATAAACATTGTATAATTCTGAAACCATATAAAGTCATTGAGATCTCAGACGAAAATATATTTGTACCATATTTTATTGGAATCAACACAGTTTTGTCGGACAAACGATTATGGACAGCAGTCAAATTGTATTAGATCACAAAACCTGTTTGATGAACTTTTAACAAAAATGGTCATGACATGCCTTAGAAACAAATAGGAACATATTTACTAGACAGGTATTAGGAGGGGTTCATAATTTTATGCATGCACTGTAGGAGATTTTATATAAATACCCAAAAAAAAACCATTTTCACTTTTTCAAACAGAACAACTCATACATATATAGGTATAAGGCCTAGGTATACAAACAATAACATAATATAAACAGTTTTATTGTGGGAATTACACAAGTAAGTATGAACTGGTGAACTGGGATTACCAGTAATTTCCCTTGGGTTTTACAGCTGTCAAAATCATAACTGAAATGATTTGCAATTTAATTAGATTATTAAAGGCAAACTTGGATAAGAGTGGATTACCACAGAGGACATACTGATATGGAAGACTTTCCCAGTCAGGAAATATACATGATTTTGTAACATCAGGTGCAACTTCCTGGACACATGACAATGAATGTTCGTGAATAGAAAGAAATTTGAATCAAATCATGGAACAAACTAACGTGGATCCAGAAGCTCATTATTATTAATGGTACATTTAATTTTTTGGGGGGTAGCAGAAACAGACTACATTTTTTGGCACCACCCTCTTCACCTCTCCCACTTTCTATGTAGAACCCTCCTTGCAATGGTTTGCACTTCCCTGTTCTTCATCTAACACATGGAAATTAAAACACTAGTCATTGTAATCCATATGGTCAAACATGAAGTAAAAATCCATTATTTTACATTATAGTAGAAACGTGTGAGGGGGTAACTTTTAATTAGTGCCTTGAACCTAATGAACCAATATCACATATCATTTTAATTCTAGAAATTGAATCACATAAGGTATAAAAATGATAAATCATAGTGTTAGCAAACCTAGACAAAACAATAAAATGTTTTCTTTTATATATCTTTACAATAAGGCATTTAATCATAGTGACTTTTTACTGAGAAACAGCAAGGCATTACATAATTCATTACAACACAAGTCTCATTATATGTACAAAGTTTTTAATTATCTCTCTACCAAGTGAAGGCATTAGAGCAATAAGAAGATGTTGATCCGTTCCCTCGTCAGATTTGAGTAAATTGACGATGAGATTGCTACTTGCTCTCCAGGGAGTACTTTAGCAAGCTATCAAACAGCGAGTGTCTGACGCGGTTAAACCAAGAGTTGTTACAAACAGTGAATCGCTCGTATCTGTCTCCCAGCTGAGCCCCCCCTGCAGGTAATTTCGGAGTCTAGACATAACAGCAGCAGCATGTAAATTCACCTTGATCTGAATTTGGAATAGTAGAATGGGCTATTGTGGTCCATTTTTTTAAACCCACTAGCTGGCCACTGTGATTTCAGAACAAGATGGCAAATGTGTGCATTGCTAAGATTTGTAATTTTCTACCCAATTTTAGTATGTCACAATCATTGCTAAAAAGATCAGCCAAGCATCAGCCTTTTCGGGTTGTGAAACCAGTGACCTACGAGGTCAAAAGATAAATTGGCAATGGTCATAGATGGCCAGCGCCCTCAGACGATGTTTTAGAAAAACAATCATGGCTGCCACGCATAGACCAACATAAAGCTTGATCCATGTGATAGTTGTTAGAAAAGATAATCCCAGAATAATTTGACAATGATTTCTTCAACAAATTTATTTTTAGTCAGTTACATACGAGTTGCCTCATGAGTGAATAATCTCAGTATTTTCAGACTAATTTTCACATGGAAATTTCAGTTAGAACTCACTTTAAAATTCTCATTACCACTACACACTGATAACAATATTCAAAGCTGCAATTTTATCACGACTGTTTATACAAGGATTGTAACAAGTCATATTTGCATGCAACATTTATGATTGACAACGAGAACTAAAGTTGAAATCAACTTACACTGTCTGGAATCCACATGATCTTTGTAGTTGGGTATGGATGATCAAATGTGTTCCTGGCAACAAAATCTGACGTTTCTTCATCAAGAGAAACAATTTGCACCTAAAATAGAAATAGACAAAATAATGAACACATAGAAATTAGAATATGTATTTATTCACTACGTTCAATTACCCACCATAGACTCCAGTCAGTCAAAATGACTGCAAATGTATAAATCAGAGGGAGAAATTGTGGACTGCCCACCTATCCCAGACGGACAGTTTGTACATGTAGTTGGGAAGGGTAAAATATAGAAATGACCTGTTGCTGTGAACAAGTTAATAAAACTAGCTACCCATTCATACACATTCATATCTATGACCATGTCCGTGAAAAAACAGTAACAGAGCGAATGACACGGATACAACAAAACAATTGATACTTCACAGCGGCTTCCCTATGTTTAATGACTTCTCAGGTATAAAGTATCAAGTTTTTACTAACTACTGTAAAATACTTTATTTTTGCTAGAATCAATTTTCACTGAAAAAGCTTTTTTGGTGTTTTGTATGGAATTTATTTTCACTGATTTTTGATGAGTTGAATGTGAAATATAAAAAACAAGCCATGCATGGCACAGTCCCTGTTAGTTATCAAATTTAAGATATATAGTTTTGTTTATAGTAATATAGCTGGAATATAACCATGTCAGGAATATGATTTTTTAGCATTAAAATGATTGACATTTGTATCTGATCGTCAAAAAAGTACTTGTCCATATTGAGAGATATTGCTCTGGAACAGCATTCAAAATCAGCCATTTTGAATACATGTATATATATAACATGATGTATAACGAATATATAAAATTTAAATATGACAAGTCAAAGCATTTAAGAGATATGGCTCTAGAAGCCCAATCATTAAAACAATATGGCCGCCAGACAGCCATTTTGAATCCGATCTGAAAAATAAATGATGTGCATCAGGAACCTGTAATGTCTAACATATGTACCAAGTTTGAACGAAATCCATCCATAAATGCTTGATATTTGATGATTTTTTAGCACAAAAATGGCCACCATTTGGCCATTTTGAATAGGATCGTCAAACCAATATATCTGTCTATCTATGATATGATGTATAATAAATATTTAAAATTTGAACATAATCAGTGAAAGCAAGTCAGAGATATGGCACGAGAACCACATTCATTAAAACAAAATGGCCGCCAGTCGGCCATTTTGAATCTTATCTAAAAAACAAAATTATTTGCATCAAGGTCCCATAATGCCTAATGTATATACCAAGTTTGAACAAAATCCATCTGTTAACAGCTGAGAAATGCTTGTTTTTGATGATTTTTAGCACAAAAATGGCCGCCATTCGGCCATCTTGAATCAGATCGTGAAACAAATTGACGTGCATATGTATACTATCATGTATGATGTATGTGTGAAGATTGATTGTGATTGGTCCAGGCATTTCTAAGATACAGGTCCGGACGCACGCACAGACGCACGCACAGAGGTCAAAACATAAGTCCCCGTTTTCGGACTGCATCCGAACGGGGACTAAAAAGGTATATTTGCTGGATTTTATTTTCACTGAATCAGCCCTTCAGTGAAAATAGCGAAAATAAATTCCAAGTGGAAATAAAGTATTTTACAGTAACCACACGAAGTGACTAATGTTTAACCCCCAAATTGACCTATATCCATGAAATAAACACAATGAACCATAAATGAAAATTTACAGTGAAATAAGGTAAATCAAGACAAGATGACTGAATGTTCTAAAAATCGACCCGCATATAAGGGCCATGAATTATAAACAAATGCTAAAGCACGTCATACAACCACATTGTTGCAATAAATTTATAAATAAATTACAATTATGAGAAGACAGTTATTCATACATACTGGCTATTTATTACAAAAAGACTTAATAAGCCTGTATATATATGATAATGGTTATACATGTACATTATTATTAATACCCTAAATTCCATTAACTAAACTAATGGAAACAATTTACAAATATGTTTTCCCACACCTAGGTAGTGATTTTTACCCTGCAGGCTATTCCAGACTAAAGCAAAGTCATTCCACCATCAATCAATCAGTTTCTTGTTAAAGGCACTTTAATAGCAACAACTAACTCAAAGGGTTCATTTCCGTAATTAATGGTTTCATTTTTACGGCCGTTATATTAGTTTACACAGAGAATGGTAATGTGCTAAAGAAGCTATTCAAGAGAGGCTGCCTCGTTTATACATTGTAACCACGTCATATGAGTACAAGTAAACATACAAGTAAGCGTACATGCATATCATGTAACATACACAGTAATCAATAGATGAAATTACTGCTCTACATTATCAATAACAGCAACATACATACATGGTATTTGCACTATTTGAGTCTCTAATAGAGCACATTTAACTTTTTTACCACCAGAATTTTTCTGCCGTTTTTTTTTTCTCATATTCTTCAATATTTCTGGAGAGAAACCCTAATTTTTGGAGCCAACAGACAAAATTTCAGTCAATTTCCAGTTTTTACTCAAAAAATTTGGCTATTTTTGTCTCAATCTTCCCAAGGAAAGCGGAGACTATTAAAAAGGACTATTTTGTGATGAAACGAGTAACTGGTGATGAAAAGGTTAAAGCAATAATTGCAATATCCACCTTGGTTTAAATTTTGAATCATTATCTTCCTTGAGCAAAATATCTAATACTTGTATGGTTTCAGTAGACAATGTAAGTTATCATTATTAATAAATGCTGTATCATTAGAGTACCACTTATTTTGATCAACGATATATGTACATCAGCTTTTGTCATTTACATTTATAAGCACATGTTTTACTAATAGAGCAATTGTAGTAAGAAATGCTATACATATTCTGTGTATCTTGAACCAATTGGGTGTGCACAATGAAGTGGAACATGTATGTTATGATTTATTTTGATATAAAAAGTCAGACCACAATGTGAATATATTTAAATCACTACGATATGTGCCTTAAGCCTCCATTTTGGGTTTAGTATATGAACAAAATATACACTGTGTTACACTAACAGGTCCAGTAGACATTGTAACAAATTTGTTTGAAAAGTGAATACCACTTGTTTGAAAAGCAGAGCAGACAGTACTGTTGTACTGTAATCAATCGCATCTGGGAACCAAACCCACAATCCCCCTGGAGAGAGGCGAACATGCTAATTACTGTACCATGGCTAAGGTCTAAGCTGGCAACAGGTACAGTTCAAGTTTAAGCTGGCTCAGCTTGCTTTCAAAACTATAATCTATCAAAATTATACACAGCAATTTGCCTGAATGTATTTTATTAGTAATATGTTAAAATGCTTTAGAACCTCAGTTGAAGTGACTGACATCCTAGGACTCCAATGAAAGTCACTATGACACCCTTTGTGTGTATTCCTACTACACAACCCTACTATGCTGTTCAACAGTAACATGTTCTTTCTGACTACCAAGAAAATTCTGATTCGGTTCTGAGACTGATAGATATTTTCCCAATTGTCCAATAATGCATAGTGAGTGCCAGGGTTTGATCGCTCACAAATACAACGACAGTATGATGTAAAAACTGGTAGCATGTTGCATGTGTTCATGTTAATAAGGCAATCAGAGAGATTAATGGTCAACAAAGTAGATTTCTAGAAAAAAAATCCATTCATTTAATACTCAACCTAAATAATCAATCAGAATGTATTGTAGTAGGGAAACATGTGTACAAATTACAAATGAGAGCTGGAGAGCACCTAATTTTAAAACTAAAATTAATAACATTTGCTGCATTAAAAAAATAACTGCATGTTCAATACATCCAAACAAAATACACGTGTCTTGATCTTATGTGAGTAAAGAGTGGAGGTCATCATATAGTGTGTGTTCAATGTTCTTGTGAAGAAACAATGTATTTTGACATGTGTTGTACAAACCCATAATACTGGTAAACATCGCATGTCACGACTACCACTACCTGTTAATTTTTTACATATTTGTTGACTGTGTTGACAGCACATTTACATAAAGCACATATGCTATGCTACCTGTACACAATAAACACAGTATAATTCTATATTAATAGATACGAATAATACAAATATTATGCTATGTGTATTAGAAACTGAGCCACTAGTACTAATGATTGAGATCGTCTAGAGTACAAGATTAATTCAAAATAGCGCTTAACCATTGCATGTACGAAGAGTGTGACCAAGTTAATGAGAAGTTAATTATTCACATAGTAAATGAAAATTTGATTTTTGGTATGGCCAAAACATATCACGACTTGAGCAGCATGTGTCAGTTGCACACACACCTGTGTAAAGCACAAGCTGTGGTAATAATGCAGTGTCGTGACACAATACTGAAGCACCTATATTAAAATAAATGAATAAAATAAAATAAAAATAAATAAATTTAACAAATACATACAAGACAATACAGATTTGAGATGATGATACAAAAAAGAAAAAACACAGTATACTACGCAATAGCTAGAAAACATTCGCTCAGTAAATATATTAATTTTCAAATCCATATATTAGCATTTATAACATACATGATGACGACCTCAGATATCAACTATCGGATCAATATTTAATTAGCTTTAAAAGCATGCTGAGATGCGTGTAGGAAATTGTATCCTCTGTATCACTAATGAATTTCATTATCAGTGGAAAGCAAGTCATAATTCAAAGCCAATTTCCTGCAAATCAATTCACACTGTCAATCTTTTTTTTTAATATCAGTAGATAACTGCCAACAAATCTAAATTGCAGCAGATCTTTACAAATTAACAACTAATCATTTTTAAAAATCATTTACGAGTATTTTCAAATGCCAATTCAAATCAACAAATCCTAAAAGCTCAAAAAGAATAAAGATTAAAAGCAGATTCAGGTCTGCAGATTATCTAAGACATTTATTCAAGTTTCATTGAAATACATGGTTCTTGAGATCAGTGGAACTGATAAAAATGTAATGCAAATTAAAAATTATTATGCAAATCGGGTGATTTCCTATGCACATATTTTCACACACAAAAATAATCATGTCAGCGGATTACACCATATCAAATAGTAC